TGAAAAAGAAGCGATTTTCAGAGGCAGGGGATAGTGAAGCACTGACTCAGGCAGCGGCTCGCGGCTCCAGTCGATGGTGTAGGCCGTGCCGTCCTGCAGGCGGCCCTGCAGCACTTCCTTCAGGACCTTCTCTGTCCTGTCCTTGTCCTCCTCCGACTCGCAGGCAGTGAAACACCGCTGCACATACTCTTTCATGGCCTGTGGCCAGTCCTGGGGGCTGGGAGAGGGAGAAGGAAGGAGGAGAAAAAGAGGTGAGCGCCTCAAGAGGAGAGGAGCCCAGCTAGAGGAGCTCCACTAACAGGTCGTGCAACTTTCAGGAGGAATATGGGAAGCGATGCAGCGGCAATAAGCAGGCTGCTTTAGACCCAGCAAATCGCAAGGGGATAACAGCAAGGCATGACTAGCGGAAGCCTGATATGGGGAAATGAGAAATGTATCACTATAGTAACTGCTGCAACTGTGGAAAATAGGCACAAATTCAGTTTGTCACCTATTTAAGCCCAAAAAATTATAACCAATGTTTTGGACTAAAATGAGTCACACTACATATTCATTCATTATAGTGTGAGAGGAAATAACAAACGGTACAGTCCCACACTGGTTTACAAGGAAGACAATGTAACAAAGGCCACCTTACCGGGTCTGAGGAGTCACCCCCATGGGGTTGGGCAACCCGCTCTCGTGCTCCTCGGATGAGAAGTTCTGATTGGCCATCACGTACGGCCGCTTGGGGATATTGAACTTGACTGCTCCTGCTCCCGGGGCCTCTGGAGATGGGAGGGTGAGCCACGTTTAGACACGGAGACTGCCAGGCCCAGAGACGCCTGGCGGTAAAGCATGTAGGCCGCTTACGTTTCATGCGGTGCCATAGCTGCTGGCCTCCTTTGCCGCCCTTCTTGCCGGCGGGCTCGGCTCTTCCTGCCACCCCGACGTACTGGCTGGGCTGCTGCTGCTGGGCGTTACTCTGGGCAGCGCTGTAGGCGGCCTGGGCCTGGTAGCCCGGGGTGTAGCCGGCTCTAGTCTGGCTATGACCGTAGTTCCTCATCTGGTTGGAATCTCCGGAGGGGTAGGACATGCCGGGGGGGTTATAATTGGCTTGGCCGGGAGGTGGGGGGTACTGGGAGTTGGGAGGAGGTGGTATGGGTGGGGGAGGTGGGGGAGGAGGCTGCTCAGAGGAGGTGGGGCTCTGGGGGGGCGGCTGTGGGGCAGATGGAGGCGGCGGCTGAGACTGAGACAGGTAACCTGATGACTGGTCATCCAGCATGGGCATGGGGGGAGCCTGGAGAAGAGGGATGCAAAAACCGTCACTTAAAAGGGAGTTAGAATCAGGAACAACAGAGGTGCTTCCTGTCACACGTGAAACAAGCGAGACGTGCCAATGGCAGCTTAAATTCAATACCTGACCAGTTGGGGTTGTGGAAGTTTGGTAGGTTCCTGGAACGGCATACTGACCCTGGGGATAGCTGCCTCCATACTGGGAATGAAACAGAGGCGACATTTACACCGACGGTCTGTAAGGAAATAAGTGGAACACTTACTGCAGCGTGCAGGTAAACTCACAGGGTTCATGGTATAGTAGTAATTGTAGGGATAGTGGTAGGCAGCGTACTGCTGCTGGTTCTGCTGGTACCACTGATAGTACTGCTGCTGCTGAAGAACAACGGGGTCCGAGACTGGGTTCTGGTACTGGCCAGCCTATAGTGAAAAGAGCGCAGGTTAGCTACACATGCTAACACAGTTATTAAGAACCAGGGCCACTTAAAATATCATGTGAAAACTATGGAGAGCACCCCTAATAATCAGGCACTGATTAGTACATTAAAAGACACTTCTTAGTTTGGAAATGAATAGAAACCCCTACCATCCAGGCTGTTCTCTATAGTATATTCAGTCTACTGCATGGAGAATCCTACAGTGTTTATAAATGGTATTTCTTTCATAGGGGCAGATATACTCTGTCTACTCACACTAACTTTTACGATTTGTAAATTACCAGCAGCAGCCCTTCAGTGACTAACTCTGTGGCCTCAGGCTGGTTACCGGTTAAATCACCACGCTAGCTCTGAGCGTGTGCCATTCACACGTTCTTCCATCTGTATTCTCTCCCTTAGAACCAAAGCTCCCTTCCACGCTCTAGATAAAATGGGTATCCTTTCATGCGGATCACAATCCCTGTACTTCCTGTCCAGGAAAGGGATTATAATATGCAGAAGCAGCCTTTACTTCCAAAAAGGATCTATGAACAGCCAAAGGTTTAGGGGAAAAACCAAGAGAGCACAAAGCCTCCAAAGCCCAAGGCCAGCATACCTGCGCGCCAGCCTGCGAGCTCTTGGTGCTGCTGGGGCTCTTGATGGAGGCCAGCGCCTGTCGTGCCTTCTCCCATTCTGGGTTCTCATGAACTGGGGTGTCCGAACTGGGACCGTACGACCTGAAAGCCAATGACTGCATTACTCCGTGAATCAAGGCCACAAAATGCAAATGTACACATTTACATAGCTGCATGGAGAAATAGAGTGAAGGCATTTTAAAATATTTAAGACCATTTACAAAATTTAAGAAGCAATACACAAAACTGGGCAACGATCAAGATGTAATTAGGTATGAGATCGTCAAAAAGCGAACAATTAAGCCTGATTCGATGGTTTTATATAAACGATCTGGAAAGCTTCTATATCCCCTGACCCTCAAAGACTATGAATATAAACTCGTCTAACCAGTGAAAATGTAAACGGTGAAATACCACACTGTTTTTAAAATTGAAGTTTCGATGTACTGCTTGATAAGTATCAACATATTCCCTGCTGTGCTGTTAAATACAGACGGGCCACATATTCTGCACATGAACTTTGTGATAAAAACACATTTCATGTGGTAAAATAGTTACAATCTATTCTTAACACTCCATCCGTTTCACCTCAACACACGGTAGGTTTTAACATTTTAACAGAAGCACGATATCATAGCCAGCTGCACCAGGGCGACTAGCAATAAAGTAGCGATCCCTGCCATTAAAAACTAAACGTTAAAATGTAAACTTATACTCAGCCATGACAGTCAGTGGTACCGGTAAGCAGGGGAGGAGCGTCGAGCTCAGCACGGTACAACGGGGCTGTGCTTTAACCAATACATTAAACAGACACTTTGCTTATTACAATGACTAAGAAATTTAAGTTATGATAGGAGATAGAAATGAGTTTCAAAGGAAATAATAAATAGACATCTCTTTACAGTTCGCACTCCGGCTAATTCGACAATTGGCTAAACGTCCGAGCCAATAATAAAGTAAATAAAGTTTCGTTAATATCACAAAACTAAGTACATATAGATGTAATTTAAAGTACTGTTCAATAGACCAACGAATCTTACCAGTTAGCTGTTTGGGCTGGTTGGGTCGACTTCGCCGCCATTTTGTTTAGCTAGCTAGCTGCTAACGATCCTGATAATCACTTACACCCAAAGTAAAACAACAGATTCACTAAAGTCCTAAACGTCGAAACCTCTTGCAATTGCATGAATTTAATAAGGGAACAACTCTATGGTTTCGAGATAGTTACGGCACAGATAGGCCGTCAGAAAGCGGATCACACACTTATTTTCACTTCCGAAGAAGCTGAAACAAAATGGCGGCCATGAGTCACACCTTCGGTCGCCAACGTCAGCGCACTCTCATTGGTGGGGAATTAGCAAGGTCCGTCCCCGCACTATACTGGAAAATATATTGACATGCTGACAGATGCTCAGCAGCTTTAACAAGCCGCATAGGCCGTTTCCCTTTTGAATCCACAACGAGTTTGTTAATATTTATCAAAACGATTTCTCTGGGCAGCCGAAGTAGCTGCACAGGTTCGAGGTAACTTGTCTCGTTATTTATTCAAGGGCCTGGCCACGTGTTATATTCAATAGTTTGTGTGTTAAGCCTGTGTGTACATAAAAGCTGATCCACCCACGTGACTTCCAGTTTCAGTTCCAGTTTCAGGTGTTGCCCCACGGTTGTAGCAGTAATGGACAATTTCATACATTTAGGTTTCATTTGTAGAAGATTTAACCTTAGCACAGTCATTCTCTGAATCATCACCACGATCAGGATGATCTTTGTCTACTGTCTGTGCAGTCTCCTTCTCTACTATCAACTGTCAGTAGCAAACAACTTCTGAATTTGAGGTAGTGTGCTTGAACCATAGACTGGACCAAGTATATTACTCCAAAGAGTGGAACTTTTTCAAGGTACATGAGATGCTTTATATGAGGAGCTGTTTAAACAATGAAATGCAGTCATTTCCTATGTTTTGAGTGAAAATCTGGCAGTTCACAACAAACAATAACTTGTGCATTTATTTGATGTCTCCTTGACAGCATCAGTCCTTTTGAAATCTTATGAAATATAACAAAAAGAATCATTTGCCCCAGTTTTTTTTTATATTACGACGCTTAGTGCAGGACAGTGAAATGAAAAAAGTGAGCCAATAGTTTATGAATGTGAGTAAGCATATACACTAGTGGCCAAAACTGTAGAAACAACTAGCATTTCTGGCATTACGCTTTCAAAATTACTATACAAATATTGGCGGTGATGTTTAAAAACAATCAAAGAAAGTTACAAATATCATACATTGGACGATTAAATAAGTAACTGGAAAAAGAGTTCTACAATCTCTAAAAAAATTAAGTATTTTGACAATTTTGGCCACTTGTGTAGATTGGCTCAAACGTTAAAGCCCCTTCTTTCACTGTTATAAAAAAAATATAGGGTGCATATGATATCTATACACAAACGATGTACATATGCTTATAAGGGCAGGACCAGCCATCTGGAACACCAGGCATTTTCAAGCCCTGATGAATATCCTGGGAAGAGTGGTATTCTGTTCTTGACTGGGGGGGGGTCACTAGTGCTGCCTGACTGAAGGGGGGGCTAGTAAGCCCTCATAAAGTCAGAAATCTAGGGTGGAAAAGAATGTGTTTAGTAACTTGAGACCATTGGTGACACACAGACTGAGGTGTGATGTTAAAGGTCTGATGTTTATTTTTTTTACCAGTTCTTATCAGTGCACTTTTTTTTTAACTAGCATATAAATCAGCTTCAGTGAAAATAAAGGATTATTATAAAACATGCTGTTTTATAAACACTTGCTAATATAAGCAACAGTAAAATTATTTGTTAAAACTTTGGCAAGCTAGTCTGTGTAAGAAAGCCCCAATGTACTCTGTGGGGGGGGGGGGTAACAAATGTTTATACAGTATGTAGAATATATATACAACAATATTTAAATATATACAATGTATTCAGTTGAAAACAGATTTTGTGTTGCTGTATAAAGGGTCCAGCCTGTTGAAAGAGGGTTTGGGATGTGTAATTGTAGAGTAGATAACAGCAGAATCTCCAGAAGTCTGAAATAAAATGAAAACATGAGATGTCAAGCAGAACTTCGTGTTGTGTAAGAAACAATGCAGATCACTAGATGATCCAAAAGTTCCTACTTCTTCAATTTTCCCTCCGTCTCTCCTGCCTGAAAAAAGAAAAAAAATTGATCAGATATAGTCTTTTAATAGACACCATATATAAAGATGTGTCTGTCATTTTTCCATATTTCAGTTGGTGGTTCTGAATTAGAGGTGAACAATTGATTACTATTCTGGACAGCCAATCAGAAATGCAGATTCACAGAACTGGCCAACATCACCATAGAACACAATGGAGATGGAAGGGAAATCTAGTGACACACATATCGTTCATAAAGTACCTCTGTTTTTCTGTGTTATATTCACAGCTGCGTAGTGTACCTCCTCTACAATATCTGAAAAGAACCACATTTTCATGTTTATGTAATATCCAAAACCGAGAAAAGATTTAACTTCATTTAAAAAACCCAAAAATTAGTGACATTCACTACATGCATTTACACAATGATATGAAAATCTTATATTTTAAACATATAAGATCATTTACTAATATAGCAGCAATGGACAGGCCACTGATGTAATTGCGAATATGTTAATCTACATTCATTTAAAATAAAATAAATTACACACCGTCTTGCTGAACATTGTAATGTAAGGTTGGACCCAAGGAGTCTCTTCTGTTCTCTTCCTGGATAACTTGTGGTACATGAGAATGTGAGATTTCTAAATAGAAAATTCAAAATGAACACCGTTACAGTAGACCATCCTATTCAGGGTATGAAATGATGCTTAAGTGGGGAAAAATTCGACACTTTGTCTTAAATTCCTTGTTATGTTCCTCATGCTGGTATCTGTGATTATTCTACAGAATTTCGGTGCTTGTAATGGCATTGCACAAGATGTATTGATTGGAAACACAACATACTGACCCTTGGAGTGCGAATGTTTCTTCCAAAATACAAAAAAGCCAATGGAAATCAATGCCAGCAGACTGAGGGGTATGACACAGTAGGCTGTATGTGTTGCTCCTGGATGAGCTGTGATTAAAGTAAAAATGCATGGCTTATTTTTCCCTGTGACAGAAAAGAGGAAGGTCACACTCATCAATCCATGTGCACCATTTCAAGTTTAGTTTCCCGTTTACCAAAAACCTGCACGGTGTTGCTCCAGCTGCAGTTTCCAGGCAACATTTCATTGTGCACGCTGCACCAGTACGTTCCGTGTGTCTCTGACTGCGATGTGTCGATGTGCAGCTTCTCCTGTTCTGTGACGTATGCTGAAGGGAGGGATGGCGGGGTGGAAAGGGGGGCCCCGTCTTTAATCCAGGAGATGACAAGGTATCTAGAGAGACTCTCAGCTGAACAGAGGAGGGTGGTGTTGTGGTTGGAGGTGGAGATGGAAAGATTCACACCAGTGACCGATACTGTGATGGAGAAGGAAACACATGTTAGTAAGGATTAGACTAAATAGTTATGAATGATAACTATATAGCTTTAAATAGACATACATCCATTTTCTGTAACAACATTTCCTATTCAGGGTCATGGGGGGTCTGGAGCCTATCCCAGAGGCTACAGGGGCAAGGCAGGAAAAAACCCAGGATGGGGCAATGTAGTAGTGCAATTAACCTCAGCATGTTTTTGGACTGGGGGGGGGGGGGGTGGATTGGAGTACCCAAAGGAAACCCCCCCTTGATGACATAGGGAGAATATGCGAACTCCACACACATGCAGCTATGGTAGAGACTCGAACGCTGGTCCCAAAGGTGTGAGGCACCTGCACTAACCACTGCACCACCATGCCGCCTTTAAATAAAGAACAAAATATATGAATAACCTACCAAGTACACTGATGTTAACATACTGGCTAGGCACCACCTCCATTTCATCTTCATAAGAAACTAAGCAGTTATAATTTCCAGAGTCAGTTTCATTCATCACGGTCAGGACAATCTGTGCTGTCCTTTCGTGTGACTTCCTTCTGGCAAGATTCCCCGATTCGAAGCCGCTCCACTTGTTTCTGGATCTGTACCAGCTGAACCACATGGGCGAGGATGAAGTGTCCACTGAACAGCCGAGGACGAGCTCGCTGCCCTCGGATACTCTTCCGTCCCGAGGCCATGTTTGCAAAGCCACGCCCGAGAGAGGAAGAGCTAAGGAAGGAATGAGAAAACACAGCAAACATTAGATATTTTCCGAGCAGACCTGACAGTTCCAGAGACAGGAAACTGCAATAATTCATAAAGCTCTAGTGATAGCATGTTTGTTCCTGATGTGCTAATGTCAGTTTACTGAGAGTACAGTTTCAGATTTTCCAATGCACAAGCCCTTAACTTTTTGACAGATTTTATGGTATTCATTTGTTTAAGAGATAGTTTTAGTGAAAGTAACACATAATGTTTTAGAAAGCAGATTCAGGGAGTCTGTGGAGGTATTGGGGGATAAGGACCTCATTCCAGGGGTCAATGGTGAAACCACTCCCACTACTATGGGATTTTTTTTTTTTTTATTGCCCACCACCCCCCCTCTTCGGAGGACAACTTTATTTTACATTAAATTCAAGAGCAAAGAGTGTGGCCGCTCCGAACTCACCCGTCCTAGTACCGTGAAGGAAA